TGTAAAGTGTTCTGAAGATATAAAACATTACATAAATACCAAATAATAATAGACTACTTAAGGAAAAGATAATTTGTTGATTTGCATGGAGGATTTTAGAAAACAGCATTTATTTATTTTTCCTATGTAAGTAGGCCCATCCAATCCCTTTTAGCTATCGGGAAATGCTCTAGCAGTTCCAGGACAATAGACCGTCACATATTTTATGTACCACGGTTCACAGAAAATGACTTGAAAGGTTGTACTTACAGAGGAATACACACATTTAGATGCACTTCATTCAGTTTCAGATCTACTCTCCCTCCTAACAGGGACCCAGCCTCACAGCTTCTGGGATTAAAACAGCAGCACTCAAGGCTTTCAGAGGTTGCTACGTTTTTGAGTTTTAGAATTTCACTGACCACTTCTAAAGCAGTCTGGAAAAAAGTAGCTAAGAAAGAATCTCCCTACACACTTATATCTGGGTACTGCGTAATACCTTGTCTCAATACACATATTTTTTATACCTCTGCAGTTATACAAGAGGACAATTATGCATAAGTGCAATATTCATGCTCAGAAGGGGTGAACTTCCCAATCTAGCCTCATCTGCAGAAATGAAACCTTCCAGGAACAAACCGCAGGCTGTCGGTATAAGCACTGTAGGAGATGAGTTAGTTTATAAAACAAAGGCTAGGTAGGACAGGTATGTGGAATCCCGTCCAATCATCACAGCTTAAGTCACGCTGAACGCTAAACAAAATAAACAATCTGCTGCTTAAATGGTGTAAAACGCACACAGCAATACCATCTGGGATCACAACGTACGTGAGGCTGGCAACGGTGCCAGTGAGACACCAAGCGCTTTGCACTCTGAATCGATTTTGAACTGGTGCTCACATCACCTGCTAAGAGGCAACAAGACCATGTTTGGACTAAACACAAAGCGAAGGGTTGGTGTGGGTTTGAGCAGCAATCACGGGCTGAAAACCTCTTATGTCCTTTCACATCTCAAAGTGTTCCCCAAGTAAAAACAAACATGCTTTCCCATGCAGCTTTGCCTGTGTGCACACAGACTGGGTGCCTTCCTTTTCCACACTCTTCTCAGCGGCTGGGAATGATGGAAACGACAGTACAGCTTAACGAGAGCATTCCCTGCTACGTTCCTCTATAATAAGTGCTACAGGACTGGAGCCTCTCAGCAGGCATCTGACTCAGAGGCAGAGCCAGAGCAACTCCACAAAGCAATCCAGCCCTTACAGCAGCAGCAGGGTCATCAGAGCCATCACCCAAATCAGCTCCTCAGAAGTGTAGGCTGCATGTAATTGTCATCACCCATCTTGGTATTTTCTTTTTTCTTTGCCATGGCAGGTAGGGAGGGTCTGCATTCCCACAGCATCCTCCCTGTGCACTTTCCCACTGCGCACAAGGTCTACATTGCTCACCCAGAAGTAGAAATAGGACTTCCAGAAAGCAAATCCTAAATTACTGGACTGTGATACTTCCATCTGGATGTAGCTCGCTTGGAAATCCCAGCTGTCTGGTTCTGTGCAGTTGTTGAAACTGGATGTTTCAATTAGAAGGAGCTCAAGGATCTGGGGAGAGCTCTCAGCTGATGCAGAAAGCAGGCTCTCTTTCTATATGACATTTTGTGTTCCTTTCACTAGCGCAAATGTTTCATTTATTTACGTATTTTAAATGCACTGAATCTGGCCACAATTAACACTGAGATTTATTATGCGGAGGCCCTTTCAAATGAAAATGGATAGTTGGGGAAGAATCCCCAAAATTCCGAGACTGTATTTTAGTCTTCTTCAAAAAAATATGCAAACCCCCTCAAGAAACCCACAGTTACAGTTATCATACAGAAGAAAAAACTGTTGCGTTTACTACACTAAGTATTTCTACTATTCCCACAAGCTAACAAGTTTCCAGTTACTTCCTTTAAAATCTCTGGTCCTTTTGAGTCACAGCAGACAGGGACTGCAGCTTATCATAATGTTCTTCCACCACATTATGTCAGATAATGTCATGTGAGGAGCAGGCACAGAGCAGAGCCGGTGGGTGCTGCTCTGGCCAGGGGTTGACCTGGAGACTCTCCCAGCCCCTGTTTCCTTCTGTGTGCTCAAAACAGCGCTTACTAATGTGCTGCTGATTTGATACCAAAGGACTAGCCAGAAATAATCTGCAATATCAATTCATTACAGCAAGATTGTCTGTTAATAAGGAGCTTTTTTTTTTTGCTACATAATGTGCAAAAATCAGCTGCATCTTCACTTAGAAAAACCCAAAAGCAAAAAAAAAAAAATCAACAAAAAGACGCCTTTCAAGCTTGCTGCTGAATGCAAATGTTAAGAACATGAGATTTGATGTTAAGGGCTTCATAAACTCACTAGAGCAAAAAATCAGCTCTTTTCATCAGGCTATTATTCAAATGTTACTATGCAGTCTCACATATCTTTATCTACAAAAAAAAAAAAAAAAAGAAAGAAAGCTAGTAATGAGAAAAATATCCCAACTGCTATCTCCAGAGTCACCACAATGCAATGACAGAATAAATTATCTGGGGGCTCTTTCGATTTTCCCACGTTTAAGAAAATAGAATGGAAAACAAAGTTAAACTCACGACCAACTGCAGCAACAAAACAGTGATATTCAAAACCATACGGAAGAGGATGGCTTTGGCTCAAAAGAACCAAAGTGGCCTACAGAATCACATATTATAGCTCATTTTTGTTTTCCAAGATTTATCAAGATTTGCAAGATTTAATTCGTCTTCCACTAAGCTCTTATGAATTCACCTCAGTCTTCTTACTGGAAAGAATTTCTTCCCTTTCATGACACCGAGCTGCACTTCTTCATGCAAATGCTGGCGTCATTATCCCTGAACCACCACAAGGTTTTGGTAATCCCATCAAAACATTCACACCTGCAAATCAAGGACTAAATGTTTTGCTCAAACCTTAAAGTCTCCAAGGAAGTCTATGTTTTCACCCATAAATATTCAATGTTTACAGTGAAAGAGTGGATACACCAAAAACGAACAGCAAGTAATTGAAGTTCAATGCAGTGGCAAAGGCATGGAAACACACTGGGGTTTTGACCTTTCTGTGGTGCTCTTCTGGGGGACCAAAGTCCAGGAGATGACAAAACTCTTCCCTACAGATACCACCAGCACTCGGAGGGAGACTGCCTTACCAGCCAGCCAGGCAAATCTTGAAGAGGAACAAAGTCTGAAATGCATTTAGTTCAGGCAGGAACATTGGGCCTCAGGAATGTGTTTCTCTGAGTAACAGAGGATGATGCATAGAGCAATTATTTTTTTGCTCTGGGCTGGGCAACGAAGTGCCAGAACCTGCACCAGTTAGTGACTGTTAAATGAAGTAGGACTGCAAACTGGCAAACATAAAGGAAAGAAATGCAAATACAAGCTGTTGTTCCTGCCATTGCTGTCATCAAGGCTCCTACCAGGCTTGGGCCAAGTCAGTCAAGGATGGTGAAATGCAACAGCAAAATAACAGCCCACATGAAACCTCACTTAAGGACTAAGGTCATAAATTCATCAGAATCAAGCTTTTTCCTTTACTCCACAGTTAGTTTACAGTGAAAAAATTAGATTACAGCTTCATCTGGAATCAGGTTCAGCCTCAGATTTTGTCCAAGGACATTTAGAGTCAGTTGAAGTGGCCAACAGCTGCCATAACTGGAAAGACATGACACAAAACCCTGGCAGAGACAGCAGCAGAGCTCTGATCCAACCTTCACAAGGGGCTTTTGCTTTGGATCCATTCTGCTTTTCCTATCTGTGGTGCTCTGCATGGCACAAACTCCACGCTATCCATCTGAAATCGGCAATGCGATGTGCAAGACTCTTCAGGCACCACATTATTATATCTGATTCACCATTACTACTTGTGAGTATTCCTTCCACACAAGCAGAGTTTTGTTCCATCTCCTACATGATTTTTTAAAAGGCACTAGAAATTTCTCGATGGACTTTTCTGCATATAATTTCTCCTCAATCACCAGCCTTTGGCAGTAGGAACTAGAAATTAAAATTAATTAGGGTCTTGTTCACCTTTACAAGCATCTTTCCTTGTTTCTGTCCTAGTAAGAGAAACTAATGGCCATACAGAAGAAAATGACAAAATTTGTTGGTTATATGGTGTAACAGAAAGAAAACCAGCACAGACCAACTCAGAAAGGAAGGGCAAATGCACATGAGACAGTAAAAAAAAAATACCAGAGTGTTTCTGAAGGAACTGGGGTAACATCCAGGCTCTCCAGCTGTTTCTCTAGTATTACACCAGAATATCCCCACCAAGATCACTGGTCACGTGCAGGCTTAAGGCTCTTTAGTCTAAAAAGTCCATCAGGCCCAAACGTAGGCCAAGAAAAGGTGCATTTGATTTTAGAAGGAAATATTTGCATTTTTCAAATAAACCATCAGCTTCCAGCTTTCTGCACGTGTACACCTTAAACCCTGCCTGGGAAATATGGCTGACAGCTACGTCTTTAGAAAGCATTTTGTCCTTTCTCTGTGACTCAGAATGGACCTTTATTAAGTTGACACTTTGCAGCTCACTAGACTGTGGCTCTTTGGGGAAAGGCAAAGCAGAAAACAGTCCAGTTGTTTGGTTTAGCCATGAAGTTTCCCACATATGCATGCTAATTTATTTCATTGAAAATGTCCCAACTAATTGCAACATTTGCCCTTAGAGCACAGGCATGGCAGTCACATTAATACACCAGAAGACAATGGCTCCACTGGAGCTATTACCATGCACCAGGCCAATAATCCACCATCGGTAAAGGATTTTCACAAAAGACTCAAATGGTTTCTGAGGAGCCATTACGGCATATCAGGTAAATAAAATATTATTGAAATGTATTTTTTGCATTTAAATCACTTGCAGCAGGTGCATAGGAAGTGGAGTATAATAAAATGGCTCACATTCCCTTGCATACTAACGAGAACCAACAGAAACATTTAGCAAAGAGAAGCAGCAGCAGGTTCTTACCATCGCAAGAGGAACGATTCCCACAAACATTGTTCGGCTGACAAAGATCTCGGAGACCACCAGTTCGCTCAGGGAGTCATCTCGAGGGTATTCCACCTGCCAGGTAATTTGCTGGGCCCCTGCCAGGCTGCTAGTGTTGTCGATCTCAAAGTCCATCTGCAGGATCTCATAGGAGGACATGTTCACTCTGAGAAAAAATAGCAAAATTCCCCAGAACATCAGTAGAATGTTAATAACAAAATACATCTTGAGTTTTCTATTCACGGGAACATTTTTTATTAAATTCAGCATGCAGACTTAAAGACACCGGCAGAAACCTAAATCAAACTACTCACTGGGCACCAGCCATACTTTAGAGATAAGTTGACACTATATCTTTTAGTTTTCTGAAAAGGAGGCATTTTTCCCATTAAGTTCAGGCATTCATTGTCTGTAATCACAATGAATTTATAGAATAAGCCCCAAACCCTGGGAACTGCATTGCATGGATTTTGCTAAATTATTTAATACAGCATTATTATAATTTTGTTGCTGCAAATACTGATGCTCCAAAACAACGGAGTATTTGGCCATTCCTCATGCTGTATCAGAAATGAGCTCTTGTTGGGGAAGGGGTGGGGGGAGGCTTTAAAATCCAAATTTGTCTTTATGTCAGTGAAAAAATGGATTTGCAGAAATTACACATGACAAAAAATGGGGTGTAGATTATCCTTATTTTCAATTCATGAAAATGTTCTTTTCGTCAGCAGTGCAGACTTGTAAGAATATGGCGATCATTTTATATTTCTCATTCAGAAATAAAAGTTTAAAGGTAAAAAAATGGATGAAAATGCATAACATTCAGAACTGTATTAAAAACATTACTTCTGCTTCTGCTGTTAACAACAACACTTAGCACTCTCCTCTGGTCCAGCACAATGTAAATATTAATAATTCCTCAGGTTAGAAAGACAGATCTTATCTTCACATTACAGAGAAGAAAACAAACACCAAGATTTAACCAGCAGCACTCGGACAGACCTATTTATAAAACAGACCTTTGCCAGCCAGCACTTTACTTCCACAAAAATTAAGGTACTTTACAAAGCAGAATATAAGTTCCTGCCCCGATTTCCCAGGCAGACACCTGCAATGTGGAGACCTGGCACAGCTTTCAAAACCCAGAGGTGGGGTGGAAAGGCAGCGACTCTAACTGCAGCCCAGTCACATTTCGCTGAAGAGACAACCAAGGCTATCAACGTTACTGAAGTTTCAGGGTACAGGCTCATAAAATAGGTTTAAATCCGAATTTGCAGCATGTTGGGCAATCCTGTAATGACCTGACTGTGCTCTTACTGTGAGAATGAGAGGGCTTGTTCCCGACGCAGGGATGCGTCCTGTGCAGGCACCCCTCACTCATGAGCCACCCCCTCTAATGTCACCCCCTGTCTCGTCCCACGGTACATTATTTGTGTGACCTTACCCTAAAGTAGAGACTGCAAGAGGTGTGTTCACAGAAAGTTTTAGCCCGCTGCTATAAAAACCAGAGACTTAAAACATCCTTTTCCCAAATGCACAGAGGCAGAATCTGGTTTTGCCATATGTTTTTGAAGGCGCATTGTAAAGGAAAAAAATCTGAACAGGAATTATTGATTTTCATGTTTTCTTTCTGTCAACAAACAACAAAAACATATGCTTCAATGCCTAGAGGATAAATATTTTCCACGCTGACAGAAGATAATATCCACCTCCAGGCAAAACTAGAAGCTATTAAGGCATCTTTTGAGTGGCCAACGAGACAATCAGCAAAATCCTTTTAAGACAAATAGATATTATTATACAATACTAGGGGTGTAATTAAACCATTTCTGTTAAAAACATAACCGCTCTGGGAACCACAATGGAGTACTCAACTTCATAGTTTTCTGCATATCACTTCTGGTAGCTTGTTTTATCTAAATTACATAAAATTAATTTGCTCATAACACAGAAATAAAACTTAGAGATGAGCTTTACACTAACTATGGATCTAGACAGCAGGCCTGCCAAGGTATGTTTGGATCTGCAGTTTAGGTTCAATCTGTTCAAGTTAATAGTTGCCACTAACAAAAACATCCATGAGTCATTTCAAATTTGGAAAAAAAAACCCCACTGATGCAAGGCTTTGTTCTAGGTTCACCACTTAAATAATGTCAAGTTAGTCTGTACTGATAAATCCATTGCACATATCCCACTGATTGGCACTTCTCTGATCTCAGTCGGTCATGCCTTCAATTATTCCTTTCCTGCTTTTCCTTTTTTTTTTTTTTACACATCCAAAGAGCAACCATAATAGTAGTTTTATCTTTTTAAGACAAAAAAAGAAAAGCATGTGTGTGTCTTGCCTATATAGCAAGCTGCCCATGACAGGGAGGTTGGATTAAATGATCTCTAAGGTCCCTTCCAGCCTGGACCATTCTATGATTCTATGAAGTAATTGCCAGGGAGTAAATTTACAGTGCCTGTAAATGCACAAAGACCTTCACTGCACCCTTAGCACGAATATATAGCTATAAAGACATAAGTTTCATTTAAAGGCAGACATGGTTATACACTGCTCGATTAGAAATGAGTCTGTGCATCTTGAAAAGAGCAACAACTCACATCCATAAACCTTCCTCGGATCTATCTAACATTAACATATGAACTAAGCAAAGCTGAACTACCAGGTCTCCGAGGACCCAGGAGTTCCTAGGTCTTGGTTCTAAAGTGAATCCTTATCATCACCTGGAAAACTAACGTGGCTTGTCCAACATTTTCTGCTTTGTTTCAGAAGTAAATCCACGTAGCATGACATACTAATATTGACTAAAAAAGGATGCACTTCATTTGGCCTTTTGCTGAAATAGATGGATTTGCTGTATCTAACTATCTTTTGCTTATGGAGTTTCTCCACTGAATGTACAGCTTTAGCAAACTAGTATCCAACTTTCTGGACTCTTATTCACCAGCAATCAACAGTAGGTCATTCAGTGACCTGCTGTTACCTTTGGAACAGCCAGTCAATGAATCTCTAAAATTGCGATCTGTGGTTTTTTCTCTTTAGGACAAAGACTCAGCTTTAAATAATGCCGGGAGTTACAGTATCTGGGACACAGAGGATCCCCGGGACACTAATCCACCCCCTTTGTTTTAAGTCTTTTCCCAGGTTACAGTCATGACCGACCTGGGATAAAACCTGAAAAATGAATTTCATGCTTGCTCAGACTGCTGCCTTCCCACCAGCTGCTGCATATCTTATCCTACAGGGGCTTCTTTCCTAGTAGAGAAACTGGTGCTATATTCATAATTCTTGCAATTTATTAACCATCCTCCATAATACCGTGTGGGAGACCATTGCCTTTTCCACTGAAATCGGTGGAGGTTGCTAAAGTAAAGCCAGAGATAAATTAAAGCATAATCAAGACCTTAAAGGTTAGCATTTACTTATATCAGCTCCATTAGCAGATGAATCCATACCACCTGCACCTAAGTTTGTCTCGTGGCTGCATGGAGTACAGTATAACCCTGTTTAAAAGGGGTTACTCCACCCTGCCACGGCAAATCTTTGGCTTTTAGCCTGATCTGTCGCTGGTGGCCAGTATGTTGATCTTTGTAGTCACTGTCGATCTGCAACTGCCTGGCGAAGACAAAATGCTACCAGTGGGAAAACCCACTAGCAGAGGAGACAACGACTGTAACTCATGCTGTTATCAGCCATTAAATCCCACTAACCAAACTTTAGCCTATAAAGATTTTTCAGCTTTTTCTTGAGACTTATTCCATTTTTCTCTTAAATAGGTTTGCACTATTGGGAAGAGTCTGATGAAATCCAAGGGCTATAAATCACTTCCCCTTTCCATATCTTTCTTCTCTTTTTAGTTAAATATTTCTATTGTCCACTGAAGTCTTTTCCTGGTTTAGAAGGATTTTGCCAAATCCTACTTTAGAGGAGCAATAAAAAATAAAAAGTCAAAATTACTTTTATAAAAAAAGATTATTTCCTGCAAGCACAAGGAAAAGACCTTATAATTTTAGGCAGCTGGCATGCTTGCTAATAAGTCCATTTCTATGGAAATGAGTTCATAACTATTAATTTTGCCTGCTCCTGATCTATTCTTGATGAGCCTTTCAAATTTAGAAAAGCGCTTCATGATTCTCTCAATTTGGTAATTACTAACTCCCTTTGATGAATCCAGCCCAGTGTTTCAGACATGAGACATTCATTACACATTTTTCTTTCTGGTGAGAGGAGAAAAAGAAACCATGGGCTTGGATTTATTTCCTCTCACAAATTCCAGTAAGAAGGACGTCTTCCTCAAATTGCAATTTATAATCCTATTTGTGTACTTTCACAATACTGCCTCCGCTAGGTGCTAGAAGAACCCCAAAACCTTCAGATTTCTGTTCTATTTCTTGTGGTCTAGCCTCATATATACCTAATTCTTTTAAGTCAGGTCCCCAAGAGCCCAGTGAAGCTTTATAACCTACAGAGTCTTCATTCTGTACCCAGCTGTTAGTCGGCAGGGTTGTGATCCCAACCTGGAATGGAGGAGAGCAGAGTTTTAGCACAGAATGGTAAATCCATGTCAAATAAAGACAACTCTAGCTCCAACCAGCTCCAGAACAGGAGTTAATGAGGACAGGAAAATGCTGTGAAGGCCCAGAGGGATAGATCCCGCCGGGCAGCTGCAGGCAGAGCCCCAGCGCTCGCTGGGCTCGCCAAGCTGAACCTGAAGTATTTCCCCTGGCTGCGCCCGCAGCCACAATGGAGCGAGCTCTGCACCCAGAGCCAGAGCCTCTCCTCTGTTAGAAACGCTCTCCCAGTGGAACTAATCAGAGGCTGCACAAACCACTAGAAAAATAAGGCCTGTGTTTCAAGGGCTGCTAAGCACCTTCAAGAATGCTCGCACGGCTGCATGCAGATGCTTCAGATTCACACCCTTTTTGTAGGGCTTTCTGTCATGTTACCTTATTACTCTGATTTATTATTCTGATTGGGTTTCTTCCTTTCTGCTAGTGCGTGCGAACAGTAGGAAAAAAAAAAGCTATCTATACATATAATCTGAATCTAAAAAACATCCAATATCA